CTGTATCAGTAAGGGAACAAAGACTGTAGTTGAGCTCTAAAAATAGCTATTTTTATGGATTGCTAAGTACTACTGATAATCAGAACAACAACTGGATTGCAGAGGCAGAGTTTTACATAGTTGAAAAAAAAAATTCCTTTCAGATGGGCCATGCTTCTGAAAAACTTTGTTCTTGGGATTCTCATCTCGTGTTGGACCTTTAACTGACTGTGCTTTTGTCTGTATCCTTTCCACAGAACGAATGAAGCAATCCTTCTGGCCCTCTATGAAGCTGTTCACTTAAACCGGAATTTCATCACAGTTCTGGCACAAGTGAGTTTCAGTGTGATGTTTGCCCATTTCTTTGTAGTGTATGTCTTTGAAATTAGAAAGTCGGAAATGGAATCGGTGAAAAGATTAGTCGTCTTTTTTTTTTTTTTTTTTTTCCCCTGCATGCTTGTCATAGGTGTAGATGAGCATGAAAGATCAGAAGCAGGCCAGGGCCTGGGTTTATTATACTTTTGGGATATGCTTCCTGCCTTGCCAGAAAATGAGTAAAGTTTTGAGGGCACAGCTCCTGTTGAAATGAGCCATTTTTCCCACTGAATGGGAAGGGCTGTGTGGAGTGCCCTCTGTGCCCTATTGATACTGCCTTTACGGGGAGGATGGAGTGAGTGGACTGGTAGGGATAAGATTGCTGCAGCTATCAGAGCAATTCATGCTCTTGTTAAGTTAGGGTTGAGCGAAAGAGGCTGATCGCGGCTCCAAAGTTGGATGAATTGTCCTGTCTGGGTGTGCACAGACTGCATGTTGTCTCTTTGGGTATCCTTCGCTTAGGGACTAATTGACACGTGACAACTGTTGTTTCAAATACTATTTTGTGTTCAAACTTCCTTGGAGAGCCCAACCTCTTTTGCTTGGGAGACTGTTGCCGGAGCATAGCACTCCTCCTTGTGCTGTTTATGGTGAAGAAACAGCTATAGCAGCCTTCTGAGAAGCAGTGGGCAGCTCCATACCTCTGATCACAAACCTCTGGATGCTTTTCTAAACACCCTGTGAGTTTGCAAAGGTGATTATTGCTGGCAGACAGGTAACGAGTCTGCCTGATCTGGTGATCATGCTGTGGCTAGCTGGAAGGATAGCATGATTGATGTGTTTAGGAAAACCTTCAGGTTTAGGCTTTTAATTTTGGTTTGTAAGTACTGCTGGTAATCTGTGAGAAAAATGACATCAACAAAACAGTTAACACCTTTCCCCAGTTATTTCAGGTCCTCAGAGTGCAGCCGTACGTCACAGGCTAGACACTTGGCATGGCGCAGGAGACCTGTCAGGACTCCTGACAGTAGTGGTGATGGAAGAGGTCTAATAGGAAGATCTACTGCTTCTGAAGAAAGCTTCTGTTCCATGGGTGGTTAATTTGCTGAGGTTCCCTGCCTCTCTTTTCCCAGGTTATTCATTCCTACCACTTGTGAGAGATTTCTGCTCTTTCAGTTCTGTGTAATACCAACTCAGGCCTTTCTGTGGTCAAGGCATCCCTGAGGGAAGAGAGGCCTTTGACAGGGAAACAAGTAGGGCAGGAAAAAACGGCAGCTAGAGTGAAAGCTCTTAAATTGAAAATAGAAGGATAAACTAGTTATTTGTGAAAGTGATAGCTGAAGCAGCCACTGATCAGTGAGTTTAATTGAAGTGGAGGCCTGATGTTCTTGGGTGGATTGTCTGTAATCCTTCATTTAAGAGAGGGCAAGATAGGTTGTGCTGTCCTTTGGAAAAAAAAAAAAACAAACCTCATAAAAGCTGATGAATGCTTTTGTCTAAGTTCATGTCCATTGCTAGGGACTGCATGAATGACTACCTGCTGCTGTGTGGGTACACAGGAAGAGCAGAGATACAGTTGTTGATGCCTGAAGTGTTAAGGTTTTGCTATACTTTTGGTATACTTACTAACTTGTTGGTCCTCAGTTTTTGCTGCTAGGTGGCACTATTATTTCTCAACTGGCAGTTAGTGTTTGGGGAAAAGAAAGGTAAACACCATAGCAAAAGCTATGGAAGCAAACCTGTTTTATGTAAGATTTTCAATAGAAAATTGTATTTTAAAGTTTAAATCAGTGTCTGTAATGTTTTAAAATTGTCTTTGAATTGTGGTATGTGTGTCTGTGCTTCCCATAAAATACACGTATTTATAGCTGCCCATAAAATGAGATATTCAAAGACTATGTAGAGGATATCCACTTGTGAAGAATCCTACAGAACTAACGTCAAATTGGCAGTCCTGTATCCCTTTCTTTTATTTTGAAATTATGATGATATATTAAGGGGAATTATACATTTATGTAAAACTTGCCCTATGAAATGGACACTTTGCTTGCCAGCCAGACTTAAAATAGCATGGCAGATTGCCTACAGTCTCACCAGTGTGGATAGATCCGGAAGCTTATAAAGAGTAAAGTCTAAGCAGTAATTAGGCAGGCAACTATTAGCCAAGATGAAATGGGGAGAGTAACCGACTGATGGAAGCTGAGAGGATCGATAATTATAGTGTTATTTATGTTATGCGCTCTTTTCCTGCAGTGCCTGGGCTTTATAGTGAGACAGGGAAGTAATAAATTGCCATCATCTTTGAATATGAACAGGTGGAGGGCAGGAGCGAGGAGAATTTGCTTTTAGAAAGAGAAATAAAAGGATCTTGGAGGAAGACTTCACACCCTTGGGTTGTTTTGGGGGGAATTGGAAGCTATAAACAGTGTAGGCTTCTGCGTACCTTTTCCCATTCTGCACTGGGGAAGGGCTTGTTATCTGTCTGCTCGGGACAGCCACCACTTTCTCATATATTTTTATGTTTTGTGGAGTAAAGAAATTGATGTACAGTTTAATTGTAGACATCCAAGGTCAGGAAGCATAGCCTTGCTTTTTGGAGGAGAGGCTGAAGTTTCTTGAGACTTCATTAGTCATATCTACTGTGTGAAAGCATGGAACAGTACAAATAGTGATCTGTATGATAGTGCCTAGGGAAGCTATTGACCTGTGTGTGTCTGGATATTTGCGTTTTCTGTTAGAGCCATCCTGAAATGGGGCTGATGACAACGCCAACAAGCCCAATTCCAACGACACCTGTCACTCCACTTGGAACCACCCCGCCTTCTTCAGATGGTAAGAAATATAATGATCTCCTGGGGAAAAAAAAACCAAACCAAACCAAACTGTAGAATAACTAGCAAAGCATTTTCTCAAGATGGCAACTAATGAGGTCTGTCTGGAGCAGATGTAACCTGGTGGTCTCTTCCTGGAGTGACTTGCCTTACTAAACATGAGCAAGATTCTTTGACTTGAATTTATTTCTGTTTTGCCTTGTATATTGCTCAATGAAATTATGCTGATATTCCTTCTGAAAACAGTATTGTCCCAGTATCCACATGAAGATACACCCAGCCCTTTAGTTATTCTATGTAGGCTTTTACTTATGAATATTTCTAGTGTCAGGTTCTTTGCCTGGGATTATTTGTCATTGGAACAGATTTACAGAGAATCGCAGTAGATTCCTGCTTGTCATCAGTGCACTTGTCCCTAGCTTTGAATTAATTGGGATTTGAATCCAACCTGGATGTGGAGGTATTTCTCCCTCTTGTTGCCTTTTCTCTGATAGGCTTTGTAAATGACTGCTTGCCCTGAGATCTTTCTTCTAAATGAGATGTTACATGTCCACATAAATACATTTTTAAATCATCTAAAATAAATTCCTTTTCATTTAAGGGATGGATAGATATAACCTAGTTTAAGAGTAGAAATCAAATGGCTATTGTCATGTGCTGTAATGGCATCCTCTAGATCTGAAGAGTATTTAATGAAGAAACAGAGTCAGTTTGAATAGAGCACAGTTTGGAAATATTTCTGGGAAAAGCAGCCTGGGTTACTCGGTTGTATCAGCTATTCAGGTCATTTGATATCCTAGTTAAGGTTGATCCTCCTTGTGGATGAATTCTATCTGGTTACCATGGATATCAAAAGCTTCAGTTAAAAAGCCCCCTATGTCTCAAGTCTCCCTGTGCATATAACATAAACTGTAGAGGGACGGGCATTTTGTGGGCTTCTGTTCAACGTGTTCATTGTAAATGTATCCGCCCACACACCATATTATACAACTGACAGAATTTATGCTTACCTGCATCTACAGCTTGCACTTTCTTTTTTTAATTTACCAGAAAACAAAAGCAAAACAAGAACTCCATCTTGCTTTCAGCAGAGGCAATGATTTGTGAAGCTTGAGGCTTCTTGCCACTTGTAAGGTTACTAAGTTTAAGGAGAGGAGCTGATCTTAATGTGCAATAATTACATCGCGAAGCATTCTTTATTTCTATTTGCTGTCACCTTGCTGATCCCTACTCTGTGACCTTTTTTTTTTTTTTTTCGGACCTCGGCTTGTTTAATTTGAGTGGTGGTGCTTTAGTATTGCTGTTATTTTAAAGGTATGTCAAAATTTTCTTCATTTTCTAAAGGTCTTGCAACTCAGCTGTAAAATTTGCCTATGGCTGAGAGTTAGCAAGAGGCTTTTCGGCTTTGGAATGAAAAGATTTCTTTCTTTTCCCTTCATTTAAAAAAAAAGTGTAGTTGAGTTATTTTCAAGTTACAGCAACATGCAGAAATCCATCTATGGGTTTCAGGCACTTTTTTTTATGCTGACTGGGATTAAAAATGGATTCCAATTCTGGTTTGAAATTTCTCTGGCTGTTAACCTATAATATGAATTAAGGCCTTTTGAAGTTTAAAAATGTCTATTAAAAAAATCAAGGTCTGGAGCATGAACCAGGATAGGCAGTGATATGTTCTTCAGAGTGATTTCTTCTTTTTTTTGAAAATGAGACTTTTGCTAGAAACTGTTGATCCATAATATGTAAATCAAGTGTGCCTGTCACCATAGTTATCTAAATGTCAGTTTGCTTACTGTTGTTAAATATTCATTCACTGCGTTCATTGTAACAGCTCCAGAAGGACCCACTGGGGATATAAATACAGTTTTATGACTTCTAGCTAAATCTTTGAGCTATTCATAATATTGGGGGTGAAAAAGCTTCCAATCTTACTGCATAGACTTTGCCAACAGACTGGGCATGTTAGCAATGTGTCAGGAGCCCCAGAGCTTCAAGACTGAATGGACTAAAATGGCTCACGCTTGGGGATGTGCAGCCTTTAGAAGCTGAAAGCCCCATTATCATCTCTTTGATGTGATTCAAATGGCGAGGTTACATTGATCTATTTGGCCTGTTGTTTCCAAGGGCTACAATTTTGTATTCAAGGTGATTGTATAATCCTGAGCTCCATGAGAACCTCCGCCGTGCTCTCAGCCTCTCAGTGCTCAGTTTAAAGAATCCTGCTATTACTGTTGGTTTGCCTCCTTCATCCTTTGTGCCTGTGCTTGCCCCCCCAGTTCCAGGGGTAAATAAGGCTTACTTGCCTCATTACAGGGTTATCATGTATAATGCCTGATTTATGAAAGGCATTGTTTGTTAAAGCAGATTTTTCTCTGAACCAAAATACAGGATCAAATCACTTCCCCTCAGAGCCCCAAACCTAGCCATCCAAAAATCAGATGTGAGTAATTCCTCATTCTTGTGAGGTCCAATCTCATTGTAAATACCTTTTTTCTTTCCTCAAGAGTGAGAAGAGCCTTGAGCATTCTTGAGGAGAGGTGGAAAAGAGATAATATAGTTCTTAAGATGTGTTTCCAGTGCAAAGGGAGCCCTATCTTGGGTTATCTTTATAGCTTGAGAAGAGAGAGAGCCTTCTTGCAATCGTAATTCAAGCCACCTGTGACCTCCTGCATGTGAAAATCTGCGACTTTGAGCTCCTAGGCAGCCAGAACAGTATGGTTATTGTCATGTCAGGATAGGCATGTAGAGCTGGAAAAGATCCCCTTGACTCCTTGAATCTAGTGCCTTGTGCTTGCAGGCACATCATCACAGAATCCCTTGAATTTATCAAACTCTGTCTTAATTTGTTAAATTTGTTTCCCAGTAATTCCTGTTGGGAGGCAGTTTCAGCATCTTGTTTCTTGGTTAAAAATCTTCAGCTTTCCAACCTGCATTTCGTGTCAGTTTATACCCATTTATCATGATTTTAACCTTACTTTGGAACACAGGTAACTCTTTTTCATATGGTGGATTACTCGCCTGTGTATTTGCTGTCTCGTAAGAAGGGCAGTCTGTTCCTCTGATCAACCTACTAGCCTTTCTCTAAACTTGTTCAAGTATGAGTTCATCCTCTTTGAACATGGGGTCACCATAAATTACGCACAGTGTTCAAGACAAGGTCTCACCAGCACTTTGTGCAGGGCGTTACCGTGCTCCTATCTCTGCTTGGAAGTGCATTTCTGGATATGTTGTAAGACCACACTCTTCAGTGCTTTGTGTTGGTAGCTCATCATCTCATGCTCTGATAGTGTACCATGGTATCACAGCGTTTCATTTCCAGCTGATGAGCTCTCAGCTTGCCATGGAAATAAATCACTGAATTCCTGACCTTATGGCTTGCATTGTTGAATTTCATCTTGTATTTATTTATTTATTTTCTGGTCCTTATTTTTATCCCGTTCTTTGTGCGCAGTCTGATATTCCTCTGTGTTTATGTATCGCAACTTTCTGCCATTAGCAGATTCATAAGCAAGCAACTGTTTCTTGTGCCCGGGTCACTCACAGAAAAGAAAACTATTCCCTAAAGTGACACCTAAGGAATTCAAGTAGTAACTTCTTCCCAGACTAATAATTTCTCCAATTGTTTCTCCTTTGCCAGATCCTTGATGTACTTTAAATTTCTGTATTGGTTCCCACCTATCTGCTTCACTCTTAATTTTTCATACAGAACTGTATTAAATGCTTTACTGAAGTCCTCCTAGACTAGCGCAATCAGTTTTGTTTTGGGTTTTTTGTCTGAGATAATTTATCTTAAATGATATCAGACTTATCTGGCAGGATATGCAGGTAAATGCATGCTGCATTTTTCCCACTTACCTTTCCCCCCACTTCAATATTTCTCGTAAACTGTTTCTGAATGAGGAGGCTGAGAATGGCCCTCGCAGACAGCTCAGGCTCAGTCACCAGTAAAAATGTGGCTGTCACATAATAGAGGTTTGACAGCTCATAAACTCAGTGCTTCAGATGGTACATGGGGAGTGAGCAGGAGGCACATTGTGCAATTAGCTGAGTAATTGAGATAGCTTCTTGTAAAGTCTAAGGCAGATGATGTACAGCGTTAAGGTGTCAAAAGTACAGCTGGTGGTAACAAGGAGTGTATCCTAGAGAAATGCCAGTGAATGGCTGTTCTTCTGCAGGTATGGAAAGCATGTTTCTGCTCCCTGCTGTGTTGTGATTTCTCTAGCACAAGCTATGATTGCTTCTGCTTCTTGATTTTTAGAAAGCTGCTCTTTCTACCTCTCTTTTCTACCATTTTGGTCATGCAATAATTGTTACGCTACTGTCTTGTGTGTTGCTTCTGCAAGAGAGGCTGCTGTTGGGAGGGAAGAATGGAATTGATGTGGACCTTTTGGAACTGAAAATCCAAAATTGCTGAAACTGAGAAACTGGGCATGCTTCTTTCCAAACAAACTGAGAATGGTGTGAATGTTAGCTGTGTTTCTTGTAAGAATTAATTGGATATTGGTGAGAATATCTTGAGCTCCCTAGCTTGGTAATGTTGATGAGTGCTAAAACAGCAGGCTGATCTCCCTTGGGGACAGGACAGAGAAGGTTATCGCTTTGCTGGGTACCACAACCTATACTTAAAGCAGGAGAAATGGTCTCTGGGGGAGTGGTAGCAGTCTTCAAAACAAAATCTTTGCTGGGTGGTCATGAAGGAGGAGAAGGTCAGGTGACCCTGGAAATAAGCTGATCCTATCCCAGATCTGTAAATCTGTGACTTGGTTCTCTGCATAGTTCTCTCTTGTATTTAATAAGGAGGGTAAACGTGTCTTATCTGTTTTGTTCCAGTTATAAGCTCTGCAGAGCTGCCTTTGGATGCTGATGTGCAAACTAGCAACCTGCTGATAACCTTCTTGAAGTACAGCTCGATTGTGATGCAGGACACAAAAGGTAAATAAATTCTGTTGATGCAGCTGTGGATGCAGCAAGCAGTGCTTCTTGAAATCAGGAGGGCATAAGAACATGTCTAGTGACTCCAGAAATAGAAGTTAACTGGAGTCCCTTTAGAGGACTGAAGATTCCACCTTTTGAGAAAATGAAATTATTTCTTTTTGCAAGGTAAGAGTTATGAGACTAGGAGACACCTAATGCTTCCAGGAGAGAAGTCGAATATAGAAAGAATGTAATAGTAATAATAATACCTAATAACCAAGCCTGTCCCTATGCAGGAGGTGTAAGCATATCTGATTCCCAACTGTCTGTCAGACAGGGGAAGTCAGGTACTGGCAAACTGTATTTTTAAGAACATTTAGAAGCTGACACAGGAGGAGAAGCTCAGCATTAGGAGGAAATAATTTCTTTGGTACTTGCTGGTTAAACAGGCAGCTCTTTAATTATAAAGAGGATGGCAGTGACTTACACTGTACTAGCAGTAATTTGCTTGACAAGATATATTTCCATATTGTCCTTTTTGTTTCTCCTGATAGTTTTGTGGGGGTCAATTTCAGCTTGCTGGAGTTGAAGTATTGCTTCATCTCCTGCTCAAGGTACCCAAGGGTGCTGTTTTGCCCAGTGGTTGTATGGGCAGGGTCATAGTGTAAACATAACAAGTGATCTTCGTACTGTATTTCAGCCCATTACCAACTTTTGCTGTTAAGTTAGATGTAACAACTGAACAAAAATAGCGAGATAGCTGCAGAGCTATGATACATCGATTATTGAACTTGAATGCTTGGCACTGTATAAGCATCAGGCAGGAGAGTTTCCTTGTACCTACTAGCTTGCAGTGAAATTGTACCTGGCTGTTTTGTTCTTGTTCAGTATACAAGCTAGTTGAGGAAAAAGCAAATAATCGAAATTAGGACCAAAAAGGACTTCATGAAATATCGAGCACACCCCTCAAAACCAAGGCAGAATCAGGTTTACCTGTGTATTTTCTCAGACATATTGCTAACAGGTTGGATAAAGACACTCCGATAATGGAGCATCATTTTTAGACTGTCCATTCCAGTGTTTAACTACCCTTATTGTGAGAAAGCTTCATGTGCATCCTAACATCTTTGCTGTGATTTAAATTAATTACTAGTTATCTTCTCCGAGATAGATACTGAGAACGGATTATTTCTTTCTTCTTTGTGACAGCCCTTATGTATTTGAAGTCTGCTTTCATGTTTCCTCTTGTTTTTGTCTTTAAGCTAAACCACCTCAATCTTTGCTCAGTCATTTCTTATAGATTACACACATGAGGAGGGCTTACCAGCTCTCTCATCATTGTCATTTGCTTTTCTCAGGGTCTCTCTTGCTGATCCAAGTCTCTGATGGAACAATTTTATGTTTTTCAATTTAACTTCTGTGCTTATTAGTCACTGTAATATGGAAAGTCTGCATAGGGCCTCGGGAACTGCCAAACTGGATTAGTTTCAGATGGAGTGAAATCTGATAAAGGGGATTCCTTACGAAACAAGCCAGTGAGAGATGAATTTTTATTCTGGTTCGAGACAGGAGTTGATGTTTCTTTCTTTACTTTGGTTCTGTCTTCTATAACATTTTTGTGTGGCTTATAGACAATCTCCTTGCCACCATGGTAGTATGTGGCAATGAGCTCCACTGACTGTTTAAAAAAAGTGTGCCTTCCAAACCAGTGCTTATTAATTCTAGTGGGTATATTCCTGTCCTAATATTTTGATGATAGATGGGGCCCTGCCTAACTGTTTTTTCTTCTTGTGTAAGACCAAGCATGTGACACCAATGTAGCAACAAGAGAAGAAGAATGAGTAACTCTAATTTACTCCATGTATCTTGAGACAGGTGGGACCACTTAAAGGGGAGACTGGTTTGTTCCACATCTAGGACTATACAGGTATTTTTGGTCCTGTCCCAGAGAGCATAATTGAATAGATTGCATTCGCTAGATCCTCCTCTTGTTTTCTCTCTTGTGTCAGTCAGAGGCAGCTGCCTTGGGAGGAATAAAAACTGCATCATTTTTTTTCCCATCTGTAAAATAGGGTTCATACTGCTATACTTCCCCATAGGAAGTGGTCTGCTTTGTTCCTTTAATGAAGGATGCTGTGAAAGTATGAAGTGTCTGCGCGAGTAACTACCTGCATAGCTGCCCCATAACTGGTGAAAATGGCGTGATGTTCACAACACACTGGCTGAAGGCAGAGTACTTGGTGTGAAATGGGAGCCTTCACGGCACGATCCCCAGAGAGAGAGAAGTGGTAGTGGCACCTATGAAAATATACAGGGAGGCCTTACAATAGGAAAATGACAAGACTCCAGTGTATCAGAGTTCTTTGAGGCCACTTCTCCTGCTTTGCTGCAGTAGAAAACTTTTCACTTAAACATTTTAGCTGAGGTAAGGAGACATAGGAGAGACTTTTAACTCTCTCATTCCAAAATTCCTTTTCATCTTACTTAGTGCAGCAAGATGAAATCAGCACACATCAGGGCACATCTTGTTAGTAAATATTTGTCCCTCAGCAGCATAGAAAAGAAAACAAAAGAGACATCACACTACACAGAACAGCTAGCTAAGCCCATTCTATCTATGTTTATAGATTACTGTTTACACACTAACTAGCAAAGTGTTTGTAAAAGTGACCTGCAAAGATGCAAGGAGTTGGGCTGATGCTGTCTTCTGATTTCTATGAAAGTGGTCTGACTGTTTCAGATTTCCCTCTCCTCCAAGTTTGACTCTAAGGCAGATGTCAGGGATGGCATGTTTAGTAGTCTTATGCTTTAGAGAAGCTGTTGGAGGTCTCAGGAATGTGCAGTTTTAAGCTTCCTTAGAATTTAGTTATAGGTATGTTGTGTTTTGTTTGTTTGTTTTTGTGGTTTTGGGGGTGTGTCGTGTGGGTGGTTTGGTTTTTAGAACAGAGATTTTTAAATGAGCTTGATTGGACAATGCCTTGAACAACCTGATCTTAGCTGGCCCTGTTTTGAGCAGTGATTGGACCAGAGGTTTCTTCCATCCTAAGTTACCCTATGACTGTATGTATCTTGTTTTTTTGGTATTTCAAGGTTAAAACTGAGAGAAGAGTTTTAAATAATCCAAATAAAAATTGCATTTTTCTGCCATAGTCCCTCTCTATCTGTGAGTCTTTCAGCCCTCCAATTGCCATTCAGGGCAAAAGCTGCAAGCTGTAAGATGAATAACAAGTTGTGGAACATGATCAGGGTGGAACTTTTTTGACTTAAAATGCTAAGTCTTTGCACCCTTCCTTATTTTATGATTTTGCACAGAGCAAACTAGGTCATGTCTCTCAGTATTGGGGTTAAAACTTAGGACTTTGACCATAATGTTGGGAGTCGTTCTGCTACACTGTGCTGTGCCTCTACCAAAGCTTTGCTGCTTGTTTCATAACCTACAGCAAAGGTGATCTTTTTCTTTCCGTCTTGTCTAGGAGAGGGAAAAGTGCATCTCTGCTGTGACAGAAAGACAGGGACTAACCCCAGTATTTAGAATATCTGTGGAAGTAAAACTGAATGAGACAGAAGCCCCACTGGTAGTTACAGTGCTGTTCGTTCAAATCAGAAACTTTGCTGTTGGTGGGATTTAGCAGTCAGGCTGGAGGGTGAGTGCTTAATGAGAGTAGTTAGACTATTAGCTATCATGAAGGAAGTAGGAGTATGAAGAATCTCCAAGGCTGGGCTTCTTTCTTGCTGCAACAGCTATCTCAACTCTTCAGCATTGCTAGGCTTCTGCAGCTCATGCAGGACTTGTTTTTTCTTCTTTGCAGATGAGCACCGGCTACACAGTGGCAAGCTGTGTCTGATTATCCTGACATGCATAGCAGAGGTAGGTTTCTTGTGTGACGCTGTTCAGCAGATGGTGTGTTACAGGGCTCTATCTGCATGCACATCCCCTGCCTCCTGTTGACCAGGCGCTGAAGTTCCGCAGTGGTACTGAGTAGTGAGGACCTCAGGCACTTAACATTTTGCTAATAAACCTGATGCAGTACTGTTAAAATTGACTTGAAACTTGAAAATTGGATCGTCTTATTTGGGTTAGACAATTCCCAGGGATGAAGAGAGAAAAGAGTGAACCTAAGCCTTTTCTCTCTTAGCTGTTGAGTGACCTTGTGGCGTGGCTTTTAGATGAGTAATGTGCTAATGGCTTTCAACTCTGTGCTGTTCATGGTAAACATGGGCAATGCCATATCCCTTCTGCCTAAGAACTGTATGAGTCTGAGAGAAAGCTGCATGGTTGTAAGTCCCTACAAGCAAGACAAGTAGCAAATCTGGTGGTAGGGTGAGAAAACAGAGCTATGTCAGCAGTCCTGGCTGAATGTGGTCCTGTCTCATGGCAGGTATGTACTAATGGCTTGACTGGTGCCTGAATGGTGATTGAGTTCGTGTGGCATTTGTATTTTGCTTGCTTGCAAGTAAAGATCTTTCATTCTTAACAAAGAATAAAAAGCAGTGATGTTGATAGCCAGTTTAAGGATGTAACGTTTCTTCAGGGTGCAGTCTGAAAGCTAATCATCTGAATTTCAAATATTTATAATTAAATGTTTTTGCCACTTGAGTTCTTCAGGTGGGTGTGTAGGTAATACAAGATAAGAAATTCTGTTTCTATATAGCAAGGGCGTGTTTTGGTTCTGGTATTAAAGGGAGGGTATATTTATTACCCAACTTGGCTGTGCATTATCTGGAGGAGTCACTTTGATTTAGAGCTAGTCTTGGAATGAGCTTTCCCTGAGGGGTGGGACAGCTGATAGACCTACCTGCTAGTACTGCAGTAACTTCTGGCATGATGGGTCCATCAAAATGCCAATATAAACCTTTGTCCACGCAGTCACAGGAATTTGCATGCTGGAGAACCACCTCATGCATTATACAGGACTTGTTAAAATCTTGACACTGTAGTGTGTGCAGTCCAGAGTTCGGGTGAGCAAAGGAAGAGAATGGAAAATAAGTTGCTAACAAAACAAGCAGTAGTGCAGACTTAACTAAAGTGGAATTGGGATGAGGAGGGGTTTACTTTTGTGTGACTGGAGACATGGGTGGGGACAGATGGCTTTCTAACCTTACAGCTGTATGTTGGGAGTTTTACACTGAAACACATGTGATTTGAGAGGCAAGTGGAAGGTGTTGGGCACTTGGTTGGCTGTTCATATCTCCTCCCTTTTCTTGCTCTTTCAATAGGATCAGTATGCTAACGCTTTTCTCCATGATGACAACATGAATTTTCGAGTAAACCTACACAGGATGGTGAGTCTTTTCCTTCAGATGGTCTGTTTTTGCTTTGGGATGAGAACACAGAGGATTTGAGTGCCTGTATATTGAAAACTGTGTCACAGACATCTAACCTAGATAGCTAAGGCATGTGGAAATACTGTGAGAAATGCAGTAATTGGGGAATGATTTTGCAATCGCTCTCAGAATGTCTCACTCTTTCAAAGAACAAAGAGCTGGTTGCCCTGTCGGTGAATTCAGAGGCCTGTGTAGCTGGAGAGGAGCTGTGTATTATGAGGTCTCTGAGGAAATCAGTGACAGAGAGAATGTTCTGCCTTAATCTTTAGCAAGCATTAGCCCTCATGTGATATATTAATAGCCAGTGCTAGTTACGCTGAGTGCTCTGATTTGGCTTATGCTTCATCCTGGGTGGGGTGACTCACCTTCAAGGAGGAAAGTATTTTCTCCAGAGCTTTTTCCTGTAGGTATCTGTGGAGGAAGTGTCCTTATGTGGCTCATGAAGCTCTGTAGTTATACCAGTAACTGGAACGGTTATCCTAACTTGATGCATTCTGTCTGTAGTACTGGCAAGTTCCACCTCATCTGACAGTGAAGCAGCACCTGAAAATGTCACTAGTCCAGGACAGAAACAACCATCTTTATAGTGAGCACACTGCAAGGATGCTAGTCATTCCCACTTAACAACAAATTTGCCTTCAATTAGCCTTTCTGGTCTGTTACAATAAAGACCAAAGCCACTTAATACTGCACATGCTGTTAAGAATGCAGATTAGACTTTGGGTCAGGAGCAAATCAGTATGTCAACCAAGGGGGAGGAATTGCTGTGTGATTTTTTTGTTTTGTTTTGGGTTTTTTTGTTCTTTTTTTTTTTCTTCCCCCCCCCCCGCTGATGATATAACAGGGCCCTCCAGTTACACAGCTAGAGAAACAAAAACCCAGTGGTGAGCATGCTGAAAATGGTTTTTGGCACAATTTTGCTCCAGCCACAGCCTTTAGGATTAATATAGGTGAGATGACAGTTGGAGAAAAAGAGAAAGGGAAGCCTGTGCTGATGGTACTGTTTGCATGAAAAATAAAGTAATGCACAGAATGTCACTTCAGGCTTCTGCTGACTTTCATCTTTGTGTGTTTGAAGCCAATGAGACATAGGAAGAAAGCAGCAGACAAGAACCTGCCCTGTCGCCCGCTGGTGTGTGCAGTGCTTGGTGAGTATTGTTAGAGTACGTCTGTGCTTGTGGTTCCTGAAGCATCTTTTGTTCTGCAATAGAAATATGAGATTTGTGGATTAAGGGGAGGGGTGCATGGACTTAAAAGCAGGGTAGTTAGGTACTAAAGATATTTCCAGCAATGGACTGTCCATCTCTATACCTGGCTTCCTCGTAGAGAAATTAAATCCAAGATTGCTGATCTGTAGCAAGAAATCCTATATATATTTACAGTAAGTTTTGCAGAAGCCTGTTGGCCCCCTTTACCAGAATAAGTAACAATAGGGAGAGCAACTGATAAATAAATTCAGAGTTTTAGGTGAGTGTACTAACAGTTGGTCACAAGTAATTTCTGGATGATGTAATGAAGGCAAACCTACAGAAAGGACACATGTTTGCTGGGCATTTAGCCTTTTCTGAGCAAAAAAACAATAGGAATGTCAATAGCTAGGGTTGGTTTTGCATGTGGGTATGGAGGCTCAGTTGAAAGCTTTTCACACAGCATATGATTAGATTCTGACACTCATCACTGTGGAGGCCAAAAGCATAAGTGGGTGCAGAAATGGATGGAGCCCTGAATGACTCTTAAGCCTGATGATAATGGAAGCAGTCTTGGACTCCAGCATTTTCAAACATGTGATTCTTGAAGCCAAGACAAAACAGCTGCATGAAGAATCTTTCTAGACTTACCAGTTTTCAT